AACCCTCCATTAGCAGGTGCATCATGAGGAGGAGGATGAGGCAAGCCGGTCTGTGCAGTATGAAATCCAGGTGTAGGCAGGACTTGCTGCTGAAGGCTGAGTGGTGCTACTCCCAGAGGCATGCAGCACCCTGTCTGAGGCTGCTGGGGGCCACAGTCCTCAACAGGGTTATCAATAGGAGGAAGAGAAGAGTCTTTTGTTTCTGACTCAAACATTTGCAATAGCAAGTCTAAGTCTACAGTACTGAAGATCATCTCCTCCATCTCCTCTTGGTCAATCTGTGGGGTTTGGTCCATCGTCTTTGCAGACAATAATAAAAATACTTGCAAAGCAAAATGAAGTCAAAATGTCGAAGTTCCTCTTACGTGTACCTCTTAGGTGTACAGGTAAGGGAATGAGCAAATATTTTAATTGTGTGATATGTCTGATTTGAACATTCTAAATAGCCTTTGAAGAAATAGATCAATGCCACTTTGATCAAAGAACCTTTTATTTTTTTATAGTATATTATTTTCAATTGAATACAATCAAAAATCACATGATTCATAAGATACATCTGTATTTATTCAGACAGAGAATACATATCAGCATGTGTGAGGGATTAAAACATGAAAACTGTGTGGTTGACTTTGATGAAAAACATGAATACATCTAATTTTATCAGCAATCAAATAATCCAAGCAAAAACAATAAGGTCCTTGCACTTTCACTGCTCGGGCCCTAATAAAGGGGTGGTTAGTCATTTAAAAAGATAAGTGTAGGATTGCATCAAACTGAGTGCTCCTTACTCCCCCTCCCTTTCTGTACGAGAGGAGAGCTAGGGTGTCCCTCATGTGTGAAAGCGCTGGACGACCTCACGAGCTGTCTTCTTCTCTACAGTGATATGGAGGCTCTAGATCGATATATCTACATATGGAAGCTGTGTATTTCATATGTAAACAGTAGTTTATAGTTTACATGTAGAAAATATGTTACCGCCCACTCTGAATTAACTGAATGGTAATGCGGGCTATAATTAAACAAACACTTCTCTGCTCACTACTTAATCACTTACTATTGAAGTGTAACTTTTTATTCCTATTGACAGTATATCATCAAGTCAGAAGAAAAGAATAGGATATGACACAGTGGGAGGGAAATGGAATGATGGAGTCATGAAAGAGGAAAAGATGTACGGGAGGATGGTAAAGAAAGAACAGCAGGAGAGAAAGGAGAGCAAGAAATGAAGTGAAGTCGGGGGTCACCCATAACTTTAAAAGGGAGGACGAAATTAGTTTAGTACTGGTGAGGTACATAAGAGACAGATGTACAGTGTGTATGTGGAACACATTTCAAGCAGTTAGGAATATTTCTAGGACATTTTCAGAAAATATTTTTTATTTTTTGAAACAATATTAGGACAGGGTCAAGATGGGCTTGGCTTTGAGGGAGGAGACATGGGAGATGGGACGGAGGAGCCGAAAAGAGGGCACGAGTGTTTTTGTGATGTTCATGAACATGAAGTAATGAGAAGGGAATAAAAACGCTGCCGGCGACAGAACTGGTCAGGCATGCACTCCACACAGACACATACACACACACATGCTCATAGTCACACAGATACACACAATCTAGCAACACACTCCGCAGGGGGGCCAGACGCAAGGGGAACCCCATGAGAGACAATGTGTGTCTGCGTCTGAGGTCATGATAGTGAGGGAGAAGGTTATGATAACAAGTAAATCAGATTAGAAGTGGGACATAAAAACAGACCAAAGGGGAGATCAAGAAAGACAGACAGAACCTAAATATAAGCCAAATTTGATGTAGGGGAAGACGGTGGCATTCATGTTGATCAAACAAATGGTGGAAATACTACAATTCAATAGAATCGGTGGTGTAGCATTGTTTCCTATTGTTTCAGTAAAATGAGCAGATTCAGACAAGTAGTCCCCGTATTACTGCAGGGTGCGTTTACTGAAATTCCAGAAGTAAGAGAAAAGGAAGGGGTGGAGACAGGAAAAAATAAAATCCCTATCCTCAGATTCCCCTGGAGAAGTTTTCTTATTTTATCAGATTCGTAGAAACATAAAAGGTACATACTGTGCATATGCATCTGTTAGTTTGCATTCTGACTGCTCATTTTTGTTTTTTATATATACAGAATATCAGGTATAGTGATGACAAATTAAATTGTCGTTATTTTTCCTTCAAGTACATCAATGGGAAGCCAGCGTAGTAACAAAGCTGGGGAGGGTGCGAATGCATGAACGCAGATAAAGTGCGGGAAGATGTAAATCTAACACAACTAGAGCAGGACTGTTTTATTTGTGTGAGCCTGAGGAGAAGAGCTGAATTTGGAGGGCTGGAAATCTGTCCAAGAAACTAAAGTGTCTGAGTGCAATCACACAGTTTGAGCAAAGCAGAACAAATCTAACCACAAGCAGGGGCTCTTACAAAATCTGAACGTGAAATCAAGAAGTCCTGCTTGAATAAAGACAGGGAAAAACGCCATGCCTTTTGTGTGACAAGCTACTTTCCATTGAGAACGCCAATGAAAGTTACCAGTAAGTGTAAGCTGCAGAGCTACTGATGGATGATATCAACTCTATTGATTGAAACTGATGTGTCTTTGTTCTGTCAGTTGCACACACTGAAAAATGCAGCTGAAAGATGTGGACAGGTTGTTACATGGATGCAAACACACACATTCTTACTTTGTCTTCATTTACTCATGCAAGCAGCGAGCACAATAGCAGACACCCAAACAGACTGTAGAGAAATGGGTTATCATAAGAGGCTTAGACGGTGTGTGTGTGTGTGTGTGTGTGTGTGTGTGTGTGTGTGTGTGTGCGTGTGTCTGCTGTGTTGTCATACATGGTTCGCTGGACTGGAATAATGGCACAGTCGGTGCAACCACATTCACTATATAATGTGTGTGAGTATTAGTGAAGAGGGTATTACAGTCATTTAGAAATGAAGATCCCCAGATTACCCCCAGATCACTGTGTGCGCATATGTGTGTGTTCTAGTGTGTGTGCGTGTGTGTATGTGCGTGTGCACTTATGATATCTAAAGCTCATCATAACAGCCAGACCGCAATCTGTCAACAGTCTGCGTCTGTCTTTCTCCCTCTATTTTTCTTCTCACCTATGTCTGTGAATTCATTTTAAAGCTTGGAGTTGGGATTGAGGCCTTTATTATCACAGTTGGTATTGGTTGGGATTCAGCCTTTTGCTCTTAATATAAATGCTTATGTACATGGAAACTCAAACTTAATCTTTCTTTGTCTTTGTTCTTTAATTTTTTTTAATGTCTGTCTCATATTTGCTGAATCTTTGACTTTACACTGTGTGAATTATGTGTCTTAATAGTTGTTGTTTATCAGCTATTCTTATTTCCAATCTTTTTGAATGCTAACACTAAAGATTAAGTAGAACTAGCTGTGCATGTCTCAACTTTTGCTAAAAACAGCTAGACCTAATTGTTGTTGACTTGTGTACTTACATTATCCGATATGTTTTACAAAAATGTGTTACCACATCAAAAGCAGAGCAAATCCACAAAATTATTTTTGTCACTTTTATATTGCGTCTGCGGTAAATGACTTATGATGTTTTAAAAACACTGTGAAATTAGTCACTCAGCTGTTTTTTCCTTCCACTGTTTGTAATGGATGACGATCATTCATTGCGATTTGTTGTGTCACATGTAGAAAAATAGATATAACGTGACCTCATTCATGAATATGATTTGCGCCTGTGTTGTGTTAGTAAGATTTTTATCAGCAATGTTGGTGAGGAAAACAACTCCCATGATCCCACGCTGCTTCAAGAGCCAAAGTTACATATTGTATGTTTGAAGTACACAGTGCGGAGTGGGTTCATCTGTCCAATCCATAAAACGGACATAACAGAATAATACCATTAGTTTGAGTTATAATGATAGTCAGAGGTGTCTACATCCTTTTCTAAACAAACTGTGTGCTTAAAGTTTACATGCTTTGAGTCAAGGTCACAACCTCAAACTGCTTTGAATTAACATTTACATTCTCTCACGTATGTTGTGTTAAATGCGTTGTGTCTCTGTGTTTTCATCCCAGGTTCAGACTGTTCCCGTAATTTCACCAGCCCCTCGGGTCTCATCGAGTCACCAGGCTTCCCCGACAAATACCCCCACAACCTGGAGTGCTCCTTCATCATTGTTGTCCCTCCCAGCATGGACGTCACCCTCAGCTTCCTCACCTTTGACCTGGAGAACGACCCCCTGCCAGGTGGAGAGGGGGACTGCAAATACGACTGGCTTGAGGTCTGGGATGGGCTCCCTGGAGGTGAGACGTTGATCAAATGCGCTTGTGTGAAAATGTCGGTGTTGGTGATGTGAACCTCGATAAAACTGTTGATAGTGAGGATCTCCATGGAGATGTTAAACAACATTTCAGCCATTTCATGAGTCAATATACAGAGCCAAGTGAAAATGGTGCGTATTCTGCCCCGCCTACATCATTATTGACTGAGGTGGAGCGGCAACTATTTTAGTAGCTGTGCGTTGGTAGATGAAAGCTAAGCTCACAGGCAGTATGTTGGCACCTACTCTGGAGAAACAGCATAACTTTTCAAGGGGAAAATAGCTGAGAGCAGGGAGAAGTGAGGGGTGGTGAGAGGAGGAATGGTAGAGGGCTCGGGATATTTCTGGTCATGATGCTTGGGAGGACTGGATGAGTTTAGAAGGACACATCTGAAGGCACAAAGACCTTGGATCTAGTTTCAAGAAATGGAAGAGGTAGAGAGAAAGAGAAGAGCATGTGGAAAGGGCAGTGAAAAGTCCTCCACTGCTGGGAAGACTGGAACAAAGAGAGGCAATGCTGAGATGAATAAATGAAAGCCAGGAGAGTTTTGGTCTGCCTCCGAGAATAGGACTGGAAAACAGAGTGCAAATGGAAGGTGGTACTGGAGAAAAGAAACAGTCTTGGTCTTCACTATTGTATTTGTTACATGATAACAAAAAACAGCATTGGCATCTTCACTCTTTTCTTTTTCTGAGGATTTAAAAGTAGACAAGGGAGGTTAAGCAAAGTTGAAAGCAGAAAACTATGACGAGGAGAAAGAGAGGATAATAGGTCCTCTGCTCTGAGTGATGGAGAGAGAAAGATGGCAGGATGAAAGCAGAGGAAGGAAAGTGAAATGAAGTGGGAGGAGGGTTGAAAGGTGAGGGAATATACAGACTGAGAGGCAGAGGTGAAAGACTTGCGTTGGGGGTGCAGGAAGAGAAACAGGAAGAGAAGACAAGGAGGAAGTAAAGCAGGAAAGAGAAGGAGCATGTGCGTATCTCGTAGGGTTGAAGGTGTGGGAGGAAGGGCGGAGATGTTGAAAGGCTAGCTTGCCTCAAGATCTATTATTCAGAGGAGAAGGGAAAAGAGAATCAGATGATAAATTGTCCGTTTTGAGTTGATTAGAGAGAGAAACACACAACAAGAAGATTTTGTGGTTGTCTCGTATGAGCCTGTGGTTTAGCCCTTACCTCTTTGATTGTACATGAGTATGTTTGTGATGTGGCAGGGCTTAAATTGTTGTAATTGTGTGTGCGTACCTTTTCAGGAACAGTAGAGGTGCAATTTCTGAGGTCCTGGTTAAGATTAGGGGTGCGATGTGAATTGAGGTTAGGTTAAAGGCAGGTTTATACTTGCTGTTCATCGCACTTGACGTTACGCACTAGAACTGACGTCATTTCTGCTGGTCTTGCATGTCCCAACTAGCTCATGCACAAACATGGATCAGCTGGAGACAAGAGACAGTGAACAGGTCCATCTCTACAGACATCTCTATGAACCATCATTATTGAGAGAGCATAGAAATTATTATATGGCTCCTGGAGGGAGATTACAGATACTGTTGGAACAGTTGAAAATTACCTCCACACTCCCATTATATCTATGTGATCGTATCGGGGGGAATGACTAAGTCGGAGCCTAGACACCAAACACTAACCTGTTCTACTTTTGCAATAAATGTTTGAATGTGAGTTGTCTGACTGAACCCTGATAGATTGTCAGCTGTTTGCTTGTCTTCTACCTGCTCCTCCTCATGTGTGTATGTGTCAAAGGGGAACCAGGGAGCAGCAGGATGGATCTACTGCGCTCCCACCCTTACACACACACACACACACACACACACACACACATACACAAGCATATGAGCACACCCCCTAGAGCTCCAAAGCACGCTCATCGGTTTGTGTTGACATGTATAAGTAGTGGTATTAGGTATTTACATACACATACACACACATACACACTCACACACTGTAAAACCATGTCCAGTCCTGAGATAGAGTTGATAGATGGTGATGATAGGGAAGAGAGGTGCTGATATCAGTAGGCGGGGCAATGAGCAAATGTCAGTGGCTAGGAGTGACAGAGGTAATGGAGGAGAATGTAAGTAATAAATAATATAGACAGAGGAGAGGACTTAGAGATGAAGGGATTGATAAAGTTTTGAAAGATCCTAAATGGTGACATGTGCCGTAGAAGTTGCAGGCGGAGTTTGAACAGATCATTCTTGTTTGAATCGGCAGTGGGCCCTCTGATTGGCCGTTACTGTGGGACCAGGGTGCCTCCCGAGATCCAATCATCTACTGGGATTCTCTCACTGTCCTTCCACACTGACATGGCTGTGGCTAAAGATGGCTTCTCGGCCCGATACAACATGACGCACAAGGAAGTCAGTGAGAGTAAGTATAAGACGCAACACACTGTGTTTTTTTAAACCTGAAGTGGTAGAATAATCATTTGAATCCCTTCTCCCTGCAGCTTTCCACTGTAGTAATGCCTTCGGAATGGAGTCAGGAAAGATCACCGACGACCAGATCACGGCCTCGTCAAGTTTCTATGATGAACAGTGGCTGCCACGACAGGCCCGCCTCAACTACAACGACAATGGATGGACACCCAATGAAGACAGCAACAGGGAGTACATTCAGGTATGTTTTTTATCCTCAACTGTACTTTGAAACAGGAAGCTGCTTATCAGTGGGAATCAGTTGTATCTTTTACTTTACTAGATTGGATTTCTGGAATGACTGAATCACAGTCCAGGCACATGGTTCCAGTCTTAAACCACCAATAAGCCCCCTTATTAGTTCACATGCTATATGGTCACATTTGAAACTCTACATTGAAAGATAAAGGCTAGGGAGTTTTGTACCTCCCTTTATCTAACAAGAAAAACGTCATTTGAATGTCTTTATGATTAATGAAATCTGTGTAGAATATCCAGCTATGAGAGCCAGAGCATCAAAGACTATTCTCTCTTATATTCTTTATTTTTAAATTATTTTAAGAGTTTTCTAAGATGGAGTAATAGGACTGTTTAAAGAGATTTCAAGAATAAAATCATGGTGTTACTAGAATACAGTTGTAAATTTAAAAGAAAAAAGTTGTGATATAACAAGAAAAAACTATGTTATGAGAATATCTGCTTCTACTTAACATGCAACAACATGCAATAGTACAACTTTATCTTTGTAAATGTATGACTTTTTTCTAAATTTGCCCTAATACTCTGACTGCAACCCCTCAGTGGGTTCCTACCATGCAGATTGAGGCCTAATGTTCCAAGCTATTAGTAGCTCATTGACTAGTCTGGCTTTCAGAAGCAAGACTAAGTAGTTTCTTGGTTAACAAAATTTACAGTTAAACTGCAGAATAATAACCCAGCTAGATTCAGGTTTTCTTCGCAGGGCTGAGGTCTTTGTCCCCTTGAAGGGCTCAGATAGATCATGACACCTGTGAGATATTTGCAGAAATGAACAAGCATTCAGCTCTAGCTGCAGAGATGAAAACGGACTTTCTTGTCGGAGGCAGATTCTCTCATTTTGATTCGTGCACGGACAGCACCTCCTCTGTCAGTGGGAAGGAACAATGTCACAATCACAGTTAGTTATAGATGTCAAGTAAATGCAGTTGTACTGGTTGTCAGAGCTCCACTGTAGCCAGACTCTGGGCCAGAATAATAAATTAGTGGACTGTGGCCAAGAGACAGCACAAGGTCAAGAAAAAGGTCCATCAGTCTCACCCTTCCCTCCTGTCTTACTTCCACTGCGGCTGAATACTCTCTCTCTTCAACACGCCCAAATTCATGTGAGGAACTTGTTCAACATTAATCATTTACAAGAAGAATCATTTTTTCATGAATGTTATTTTTTCCGACTTTGGGATGTCCCATAAAATCATGTGGTGCCCTGGAAGAGCCCCTGCTTTAGATTTTATTGTTTATGACACATACAAACTTTGCATGAAATCGGTTTGACAGTTTACTGGACATGCAGCTTCTGTCTCTCCTGTGCTGACTCTGTGGTCACCGGTGTTGTGGTCTGGTCTCTGCGTTCCATAGAGGCCCTCAGCTGTTCCCCTGCGTTAACACGTAGCAGAGACCAAAGCCTCTGCATGTGTGTGTGTGTGTGTTTGTGTGTGTGCAACAGCTCCTGTCTTGACAAGCAGCTGTCATAAATGCCAATGTGCCTCACCTTCTTGCATCTTGCACCCCATGATCTGTGTGTGTGTGTGTGTGTGTGTGTCCATGAGGCTTTGGCATGCATGTGTTTCCATCATGTTGGCTCAAGATCCACTTGTTGGTTTACATTTCTCTGTACGCCACTTTCTCTTCTGTTTTTGATCTATTCTATTCCATTCAATTCTATTCTAGCCTTGTCCAGTGAGGTGTGCTGCAGATTGATGATGTGAGCTCTCGTGGCTCCATTATTCTAACAGCTCTGTGATTGATGAGGAACCTTTCCTGGGAAGCCTCACAATGCATCTCTCTCCCTCTGCCTTCCTCTCTCTCTCCCTCGTTCGTTCTTCACCTTCTCTTTCTCTTCTTTCTTTCCCTCCCTTTCTCACTTACTCCTCTCCCCTCCTTCTCTACTCATCTGTTTTTCTCCTTGGTTTTCGGACTATCGATTAGTTGTCTTGGTGGATCTCTGTCTGGCCCTAAGCATGTGGCCCTGTGTGTGTGTGTGTGTGTGTGTGTATGTGTGTGTGTGTGTGTGTGTGTGTGTGTTGGATGTAATCTAAAACACCTGTCTCTCTGACAGATAACAAACGCAGCATTTTACCTCCCCTAGTGTTTTGTACTACACCCCAGTGGGACACACAGCACACACACGCACATGCACACAGACAACAGGCTCTGATTAATCTACAGGTTTCAACAGCCACAACAGAGGAGAATAAATGTTATAACCCAGAGTAGATTCTTTCTCATTTTCTCCTCTTTATATGTCTGCAGCCTGGCTCTGTCTTAAAATCTTGTTTTGTTAAGTACTGGCAAAGATCACAGTCCCAACCTGCTAATAATGTAATTCATTTGACAACTTAAAGATATGAAATACAAATGTTTAACAGTTACAGGGGGGCTATGTGCCTGGTAAGGAACCATTGAAACTATAATAAAAATAACAATAATTGATATTTATATCCCGTCTTGATGGGTTTACAATCTGTGTATCATTCATTCAGTCCATATTGAGAATCAAAACATAAAAAAATAAACATTTTCCTTATTTGTTTATTAGTCTAATACTGATACCGATTTATACTTTTGATTATATAATTAATCCAAAAATAGAAAATGAATAAAGGACCATGGGCTGAACTTGATTTTGACAATTTATGTGTCTGATTGTTTGAATTGGAAGTCACTCTCCCATTAACTATTTTTTAGCATAATTTAATTAAGCCAATGGAACCAATAGAACAATGGAGTATATATATTTATATATATAATGTTTATTTCAAAGTATTTTTAAACCTGCAGGTTTTAATTTCTTGTTGAAAAAACTTTTAGTTGCTTTATGCTTCTTTACAAGCTCATCGTCTATCTACTTAAGGGGGCCCTGAAATAAAAGGGGTATGAAGCCCATGTCTGGCACACAGCGCTGTGCACGTTTATTGCAACACAGCGAGCAGCATGCTAGACACGTAGAATAGCTCAGGATGGGGAGGTGATTATTGCTATTGTATGGGAGGAAATTAAAATGAGCCCTGGGTCATTACTATCGATCTGCCAAGAGGAAGACACAGAGGAAAGGAACACAGAGAGGGGGAGATGAGGAGGAGAGGAAAAGAGGGGTGAAGGTGAGAGGTGGAGGCTGATAGGTCCAGATGTATCTTTTATGAGTTTATGTGGGTTTTTTAACCCGTTGAATGTTTTAGGTGTTTCATCCTGGGGTGTGTGACCTAAATCAGAATGGATTTCTTCTGTGTTTCCCCTCATTTATATTATTATTAGGATGTTAGGCTTTTATTTAGAAATGTAATACACCCGCTGACTGATCAGTTTTCACCCTGTTTCTGTTCTTTAATGTTTTGTTTTATGATTTATTTTACATTTTGATTAAAACGTACTTGCTCTTACTGGTCAACAGGTGGATCTCCACACTCTGAAGGTGCTGACTGGTATCGCCACACAGGGCGCCATTTCGAAGGAAACTGATAAGGCGTACCATGTCACCACCTTCAAGCTCGAGGTTAGCACCAACGGAGAGGACTGGATGGTCTACAGACATGGCAAGAATCACAAGGTATGTTCAGTACACATGCAAGAACACACATTGCCTTCAGAGGGCTTGAAAAGAACTCAGGGCAATGAAAGAGGGTCTGGATGCTCTTAGGTGACACGCATGCCTCAACATGTACCCACATGGAAGTGGAGCAGCGAAATATGAGATGGAATATATGCAGCAAGAGTTGACCACATGCCCGAAATTCAACCAGTGTCTGCAATTACAGCCTTTCCACCGCTACTCAGCTGGCTTCATTTAATGCTTTACGACCAAGCGAGAATCGGCACACGTCTCAGAGTGATCCCTTACATCATTGTACGCAACTGCATCTACACCGCAGCCTGCTTTTCACATCCCATCTGGTTTCTGTTACTTACACTGGTCAGAGCTCTGCCGAATGCTGACCCGGTTGGACGGGTTTCCGAGCTGTTTGTCCCAGAGGTGTTAAGGCATGATGTGTCATCGCTGCAGTCCAGGGTGCAGGGTCGAAATGAAGCAGACGGTTCTGAGAGTCTTTGAAAATGGTTGCAGCTGCAATTAAAGTAAAGGAGCATTCCAGTGGCTGAGGTTGAGGGTTTTTTTCCATCTTAGTCGTCCCCCCCCTTGCTGCAGTGGTCGCATATGTTTGTCCTGCGGTCTAATGCCACGTCTAGCTACGTGCTATAAACTCTTATTCCATCATGCACATGCTCACAGATGCACATTCTAATATGCCTGTTGCTGCAAGAGGGAAACAGGAGATGAAGGCTAACCATCTGGGGTTCCTCTGTGGACTGCAGATCCCATAAGGCTTATAACCGAGGTTAACTCCCACAGAAATGATTGATGGATGAAAAATTGGGACCTGTGGAGAAAAATGGTCAGGATAATTAAGTAGAGGTATGATAGCAAACACAGGCCAACAAAAATCATTTAATTACAATGGTTAAATTCACTTGAATAATTGATAATCTGGGCCATTTAATTGGTGCAGTAAAGTAGCATTTGTGAGTTCTGATTGCTGCGAACCAATAAAAATCCAACATGCAGAATGGATAAGTGATTATGTTTTAGGTTGGTCGTTTGTGTCAGCCCCCCATAATCCCCCTTGATTCCCCCATTGCCCCTGGAAAGCTGCTTCACAGCCATATGCCCTGCCATACATATATAGGGGTGTGCGTGCATGTGCATATCAATGTGTGTCTTTTAGGAGGAGGGGTTTAGATAAAATAAACACACATGCACACACAACCTCGATCCAATGGCATCTGTCTTATGAGCCATTTGGCCTCAAGGTTTAATAATATGATGATTCAGCACGGGGTCATCAGTCTTTTAATCCACTACTTTGTCTAGTTGTTGTATGATGGATATTAAAAAAATAGCGAAAGAGAAAAAAAGACATATTGCCATTTATCTGATGATATAACAATGGTTCTCTGAGTTTATTGTCACTTCTCAGCTGACACACCTCCAGTATGCGTCAACCTTGCCACCTTAGCTGTCTATATCATCTTTAGGTGTGTGTGTGTGTGTGTGTGTGTTTTATGTCAGAAAGACACATAAATCACTCAGCAGCTCCAGCCAAGAGGAACTTTTGGCAGTGCTTTATAGGTCAGGTGTGTGAAATGCTGTGTCAGCATTTACAAGATAATTCACCGAAATAGTTTTTATAATTGGGAGCACATGGTGGATCGCTAGCAGGGATGTGCAAGACAGCCTTATATTAAAACCATATATAAAATATTATATATATATTAATGGTAAATGGACTGTATTTATATATCACTTTTCCAATCTTGTTGACCACTCAAAGCAATTTGCAGTACAAACCACATTTACTCATTTAAACACACATTCATACAGTGCTACTTTATAACTGCCCTACTATAAACTATTATATATATATATATACTATACATATATACACTAAAATATATCATATATATATACACACACAAACACACACACACACAAACATGAAGGGTAAATGGTGTGTATTTATATAGTGCATTTTTAGTCTTATTAATCACTCAAAGTGATTTACAATACAAGTCACATTCACTCATTCATACAGTGCCACTATATGCTTTTTGGGGGGTTTAGTATCTTGCCCAAGGAAACTTTAGCATGTAGTCTGGAGATCCAGGGATTGAACTACCGACCTTCTGTTTGGTGGACAAACCACCTGTATAACCATACATGCAGGTGCTCCACTCCACGTGTTGAACCTGCTCTGAACGGTCCATTTATCCATCTATCTCTTTGGCATTTTCATCCACTCAGTCTTTTGCATCTTCCAGGCACTCTCTCTCTCCTCATCTTCATTCATCTTACTCTTCACATCTTGCTCTGCTCTGCTATCCATCTATCCTCCTCATCATTTGTCCTCCCTCATCCCATATGTTGCTGAGAAAGTAATCATGAAATAGATTAAATTTTTTTAGCTTTTTGAACAAACTATTTTCTTTTTTTGGCTTGTCCACCTTTATGTGTGTGTGTGTGTGTGTGTTTGTGTGTGTGTGTGTGTGTGTGTGTGTGTGTGTCCGTGCGTGTGTTCTTTATGTGCTTGTTAATGTAGAAGAATTGCTTAAAATATTATTTTATGACCAAGAGGCATTATAGGACAAAAATGAATGGGAGCCACATGGACTTAAAGAAAAGAGGTATGAGCACAGCATATACAGTAACTGTCCATGCTCATGCAAACTCACAACACAGTTATGTGTGTACACAAAAGCACACACACACACATACACTTGACAATGTTGTGTTTAAATGTTTGTCACAGATGAGTAACTCTTAATAAAGCATGTGGCTGCTTTACAAACACACACACACACAGTGGTTTTTAGCATCTGGCAGCGAGCCCATAGGGGCGGCGCCTCTGTCACAGCGCCCTGATGATTTGTGTGATCTGTAATGTATTTGATAATGTCATTAAAGGCCTGTGGTGAACCAGATGGGACATATGGAATACATGTTAACTTGCAGATACTTTTCAGAGCAAGAGAAAGTAATATTCACTGACAGGCTCACAAATGACACTGACTCGAGACATATGCACCAGCGTAAGTGGTTGAGTCTTCGCCAACTTTTACTTTCTTTCTCTTACTTCTTTTCATCCGTGAATAATTCTGCATTTCTTTATCAGCGTCTCCTCTTTTTTTTCACTGTGAAGCAGACGTTTTTTACATCCTCTCTTGATGATCGGGTCATGTCGGATCACTTTTACTGCGAATGTTCTAGGGAGAAAGGATAAAAAGATAATGGCACTATCTGTATAACTCACACAGTCCTACGACTCAGTGAGTGAAATTGGCTGTGGACCGGGTTAGGGGAGGTTGCCCACATGACAAGCAAAAAATGAGCGATTTTCAGTGACCTGAGGCCTTGAGTGGAGAAATGATGTTGTCTCAGTTTGAGTCGCTGTCGGGAGGAGTTTGAGACCTTCTGCTAGTTGTGGTGCATTTAAGCTTGATGTGCTACAAATGTAATTACGCAGCCCTACTGAATAGCTGCAGGCGGAACTGTCTACGGCCATTACAATGCTGGACCTCAGCCAAGACCAAAACCTCCTATTCCCACCTTAATCTGTGGGAGGAAGGATGGATGGGTAGAGAGAGGAGGAGGGAGGCGTGGGTGGAAGGAGAGGGAGGCAGAGGGATCGTGATGAGAGGAAAGTGTAGGAAAGTTTGGGGAAAAATTGTAAAGAAAGAGAGGCAGAAAAACAAAAGCAAAAGGTCAAGCAGTCAAGCATTGAGCTGATGGAGAGAAGAGGAAGTGAGCGCTGCAAAGGGAGGACGAGAGGTGGGAACCAGAGGGAGAGAAGTGAGGTTCATAGGGGAAAAAGTGAGTGAAGGAAGGAGGCAGGAGGGGAGGAAAAGAAGGGTTCACAGGGGAACCGCGGTGCGAGAGAAAGGGATGGACGGGTGAACGAAGTCGAGGAGGAGAGGGAGAATAATGAGAAAAGCAGACAAGGGTGTTGACCAGAAGTCCCTGTGGACAGATCAGAGGTCTAAGCAACACAGCCTGAAGAGGATGTCAGGAGAGGGGGAATGAAAAGAAAATGACAGAGGAGAGGGAGGAAGGCTGGGAGGTGAAGGGAAGGCAGGAGGCAGGGGGAGGTCAGAGGAGAGTGGGAGGAAAGAGTTTGTGACAAATGAAGAAAGAAGAAGTGGGAGAGAAAGAGAGGAAAGGGACAAAGGGGGATATTACCGTGGTGTCATGTGTCGTTTGGTTTGTGAGATTTGTTCACTACTGTCTCACACACACACACACACACACACACACACAGATTTAGCTGTCAAAGACACATTACTTGAAATGATGAAATGAGAGGAGATGGCTCTTGTTTTACTATTTTATAACGGTCTACACACATACACACACACTCAAAACACACACAGCACGGACATTTAAATAATTCAGCAAGTCTGTGCTGGTCCTTGCTGACTGACTGTGGCCCTGCAGGCTAACGTCACGACCACACACAGACACACACCTCACACACCTGTTCTTTTCTTTCCCTTGGGGTGAACATATCCCTCGTCCTGCTCTTTTTCCTGTCCTGTAGTTAAACGCTAGACCTGGTAAGTCGCCTCTAGTCGACTGCTCACTATTGTTATTCAGTACAGTCGTGCAGTTTGTGTAAGTGAAGGTGAAAACATCACTTCCTTCATGTCTGTGACCTTTGAACTTAAGTGAAAGGACTTATAATTTGAAAGAAAATAAATATCCCTCCTGTGTGTCTGTGTGTGAGAGAGAGGTGGAGGGGGTGACAGCAGAATGGGATGAAAAGTCAAGCGTCTGTTCAACCTGGTGTCATCTTCCTGTGTCTCTTAACACAGGTGGAAACCTCAGACCATGAACCAACATGCACAGAACAACAAACACACTATAACATGAGCTGGTGTGCAGGTGAAGTCCAGATTGTTGCTGGAGCCTTTTTAGACTGAGACTGTTCAGGGTGAATTTTGACCTCAGGGATGCCACGTATCATCTGTCACCTCCTCACTGTGGATCCTCACTGCACAGACACAACATGGAGGGGGCGTTTGTTCAATCTGTTGGAACAGAAGGAAAAATAGTTGTGTTAACACATGCACAAGGATGTTGCACATTACTCTCTGACCTGAGTTTAGAGGAGAAGTTACTCAACCCGACTCTAACTCGACTGGCTAGTAGCGGTTCAACGTTGAGGTCAGGCATTTTGCATATACATCTGTTGTACATATCTATTGTCATTTTTTATGTGTTTGTTGAGATTATAAAATCATTATTTTTGTATAACAGAGCAGCAGTGGTTTGGATGTGACTGCTGGTTAAGTAGTCTCAATGGGCTGTGTTTCAGCCACCTGCAGCTTTGGTCTGAAAGTGACGGAAACAAAACCGTACATTTCATTTGATGAGGGAACTGCTGCTGTTAAAATATTGTACATGTGAGCACAGAGAGTAGGAGAGAAGCAATGAGATAAAGGACATAAACTCCCTGACACCAGGCAAAATGCATGTATTACATGACAGATATCAAATTATAATTTTCACACATCGGTGGTCAGCACTGTCGCCTCACAGCAAGACGGTTCTTGGTTCGAATCCTGATCTGGTTGACATCTTCTCCCCGTGTGCGTGTGGGGTTTTTCCCTGTCCACCTCCCACAGTCCAAAGACATGCAGGATGGACTAACTGGAGACTCCAAATTGACTATAGGTGTGAATGTGAATGGTTATTGGTCTTGTGATGCTGCGATTGACTCCAGCTCCTCCTGCGACCCTCAAGAGGATAAGTGGTAAAGATAATCGATGGAAAGATGGATTCTCACGCATTAACTGTTAATGTAAGCCGATGTAAGCAGAAGCACCAAGTTCGTCTCACTCTGTCGCACGGTTGTTGTTACCATGGTGACAGCTTGTCTTTCAACATTGATTACACATGTGTGGGCACCTTATGAATGGCTGTCAAAAGCCATTGTTTTATACAGGCTTTAGGTAGAATGTTTTAAAGTCAAAATGATTGCTGCCTTTTGTTCCGCTGATGTGACTAAAATCAAAACCAAGCACAAATACAATTCCCTCCATTGAGAACAAATTTTTGGTTGTAAGATTATTTGGTTAATTATGATAAGTGGATCAATTAAACAACTCAATCTGCTTTTGTGAATTTAAACTCGATGGTTGACATTATTGTGAAATTACACAAATACTCTAATCATCGTCATACTAAGAAAATGATGAATTACAAAAAGAGTTATCACTCACAACATTGAATCTCCTGTTAAAGCCAATGTGCTGTGTAGAAAAGAGACATGTTTTCATTTTGACAGTGAAGTTTACTTATAGCATCGAGACAGAATATTATATTCATTTTTTGCTAGTGCTTATGACGATAATGTTCGTGTGTGGTCACGTGGGACGACTGAACAGCAGTTATAACAGTACATCAAGAAGCAGCTGAAACAGAGTCTGTTTTGTGACTCTAAACAAAACAAAGGACGCCAGATTTATGTCCATAGTCAGTATGTAAACAGTTCTCAGACGTCCCAGCTACACACAAACACACACACACACACACACACACACACACACATATATACACAGACACAAATAGAAACAGTCCACTGCAAATTTAAAAATACGTCAACAGCAGCAACAAGATTAGACTTTCACACACTCTTATATAGGCGACACATACAGTGCATAAAATCACTGTGTGTGTTTGTGTGCGTGTGTGTGTGTACATGTGCTGAAGGAATGTTTCAGTGTTCACCAAGGGAAATCAGAAAATACCCGCCAGCTCCCAAATCCAGAGAGTGAGACTGCATAATTATACTTTTACACACAGACACACATGCTCACACACACTTGTAATTACACTCTGATACCACAATCCCATTAAGTCTTTTGGGGCCTTTGGGCATTTTCCCATCATTTAACTGGTCACAGTTTCTGGTATTAAGGCCATTGTGAGGGCATGAGTTCACTGGTAGTAGTGAATTTACACACACAGACACACATACACACCAAAGCAAAGCTAACATCTATAAACGAGTACCCAAGCAAGTAATTGCAAGGCCTTTTGGCTCTGGTGAATGAGGTTTACTGCTCTCTGTAAGACACACTATGTGGTGTTTGCAGCACTGACGTAACATAATAGAAAGAGTGTTAGAGGCACAGAGGGAAAACAGCCTTTGAGGTCCTGTAATGGATTTTTTTTCCCTTAAATTTATAGCAGTATATCATCATGGCAGGGAGAGAGAGACGGACAGAGTGAGAGAGAGAGAGAAAAAAGAGATGTCGAAGAGAAAGACAGAACAGAAGGAAGAAAGTGAAATGCTAGGGGAAAGGGCAGGAAGCCTAGCTGCATTTTCCTGCGGTGAGCCTGACAGAGATGACACTGTGACTGATAGACAGAGATATGAAGTCTTGTTGTCAGGAGACAAAAACAGTTATTCTGGCCATGTGCGCTCGCATTCAATTTCCTTTCATCTGGATTTGTGTGTGTCCTCAGAGAAAATCATTGTGTGTGTGTGTGTGTAACTACACACACAGTGGGGAAGCTGACAGGGCACTGTGTAAGGTGGTGAAAGGTAGATTGTGTGTGTGTGTGTGTTTGTGTGTGTGTGTATAGTAGCAGTGTATTTGTGAACATAGTCCAATGTGCATGTTCGGTTAGGGGCGACTGTGTGTGTCTCTATGTCATAAAGGGAAACGGAAAGAGGATGCACTGAGAAAACAGCTCTCCACGTACGATTTATTACACAGCGCGCACATTGTGGTGCGCTCAGACTTTGTATTTGTGTGTGTGTGTGTGTGTGTGTGTGTGTGTGTGTGTGTGTTAGCACATAAATGAACCTTAACACTCCTTCCTTCTGTTGTGCACAGGCACATTGTTTACATTGTGTGTGCACATGTACAGTGTGTGTGCACTTAAAGTCTCCTGGCCTCTTCGACCTGTGTTAAATTATTATTGTTGTCTGAACTTTCTAAACTGTTGTTGGAGTTCTTCATGTTACTCCTCCTGAATTCCCCCACTGGTGTTTTACATTTCTGTGTATATAAGGGTTAAATAAACAGGACACCCTGTGTGAGTAAGTCAGCTTCAGAGACAAGAACACGGTAGCCGCTTAGCCCCATGACACGTCACCTCTGTAGGCTAAACACAAACCGACTCCAGCTCCATATTTAACCTGCAGACATGAGACTGATGGACTAGCAAAACAAAATGATAATGATGTATGACCCAGTGATATCAGGGCTGATCCTTTGTCGTATCGAGGATGTGTGTTCAATCTCCTGTGTCGTTAATAAGATGACCCTGAAACTGAGCTTCTGTCGCTCCCCCCTCTGCTCAGGAAAACAGTGTTTTAATAAATGTCCTCCTATTTCTCTCTGTTTCTCTCTCTCTCTCTCTTTCCCGCTTCATAGGTTTTCCATGCCAACGTGGATGCCACAGAGGTGGTCCTCAATCGGATCCCGCAGCCGGTCCTGGCCCGCTTCGTACGAATCCGACCTCAGACATGGAACAACGGCATAGCACTGCGCTTCGAGCTTTACGGCTGTCAGATTACGGGTAAGGAAGATGAAATATCTTCTTTTTTTTTCCCTGCCTCCTCGTGGGACTCGCTTCTGTGAAAACACATATATTCGTCTTGCCAAGATTCATACCAGTGATATACTGACTTTTACAGCAGGTCAGAAGGTGGGTCAGAGCAAAAAATAACTCCCTTAGAAAACATTTCCTGAAAAAGAAGAGGCAAACTTGAAAGGGTCTTTTTACCAGTCTTTATTTTAAAATTATCTAAATATATATTAATCTAAATAAATCAGTAATTTGTCCACCTATTAATCCTTCCAATGCTCCTATTCAAACTTTAATCTACTTTCTCCGATCTGTTTCTCTCCCTTCACACACACATCACAAGTGCACTCACACTCTTGCCCTTGCTCTTTCATGTACATATCCTCCCTCTATGTCTCCCACTCGCACATCGCACACTAAAACACATACACACACAAAAAGAAACACTCACAGTCCTAATAGAATAATACTAGAGTGTGATGTGTGGGTGATAACATCAGAGAGTAACAGGCTCTCAGCTTTCATCTGCAGCCCTGGCAAACAAACACGATTTCAACCAGCATAATCAGCTCAATACTATAAATAGATAAAACTTAATTAGACTGTCTCTGTGTGTGTGAGTGTGTGTGTGTGTGCGTGTGCGTGTGTATTCTTGTATTGCTATCTTTGTGAGGACAACATTACGACTTTGGGACTGAGGACATTTTGGGAGAGTGGGAACGATTTGTCTCCAAAACTTGAAACAGCGGTTCAAGGGTTATAGGTTTAGGTAACGTTAGGGTCAGGATTGAGATTAGGCATTTAGTTGTAACTCTTGAGGATATAGGGTAAGGGGCAGTGGGAAATGTATTATGTGTCCTCTCAAAGATAGAAGTACACGTGTCTCTGTGTGTGTGTGTGTGTGTGTGTGTGTGTGTGTGTGTCATTATTGGGTTAGAGCCTCTCTCTGCTGCCATCGTGGTGGCCATTGAGAGCGACAGATATGCTCTTATCTAGGTGGGCTATTTCAGCACCCACACAAATCACAATCACACCATAACAATATGATACCTTGCGTTTGTGTGTGTGTGTGTGTGTGTGTGAGAGCAAGAGAGGCAGAGTGATATAGCAGGTAAAGTAGACAGACGTGGCATATATCAGGTATCCTAACCTGTGTTCTTTTCCACAAATTGCCCATTTTTTTACCCCATTTTAACACCTGAAATTGCATTATACATCACCCTACTTTCCTCACTACTCTCAGCCCTGAGAATCCATTCAACACATCTTTTGGCCAACTCTGTTCCCCTGGATATTGCCCATTTCTGCCACCCCGTAATGTCAGCAATCCATCATGAGCCCAGAGGAAAACACTGACTTTTTATGCATACTCTTGACACTTTCAGACTAGTTTGTCCTCTGTTGAAGGGGAGGACTGAGTCAGTTACTTTAGAGCAAAACAAACAAAAATTTCTCTGAAATATGTTTATAACCTGCAGAGAGAACCTCATGAGGAAACATATCTGCTATTAGCCATGCGGTCTCTTTTCATTTCTTGCCCTGCACACAGACGTACTGACGAGCACACACATTCACACACTGCCGGGGGGGTGTGATAATGCCCTACACAGGCCTATAAAGGCAGACATAAAGCAGTCAGTCAGTGACATGTCATTAACTTAAATCACACTTTTATGTCCCTCACTCGACTTTTTCCTCACTTTCCCCCTATCGCTCTTCACTGTCGCTCTGTTTTTTCTTCCTTCTCGTTCTGCCCTTTTCCTCTGTCCTTCCATCACCTTTGTGAGGAGCTTCCATTCCCAATCCTCCTCCCTCAATCCCCTCCCTTAAATTTCCCCTATATAACCCTGCCTCATTCAGCGCTGCCTCCCTCCATCCCTCCTTCTCTCCCTCTGTAATCTTTTTTTATTCTGCCCTGTGGCACCTATCAATAATTTATTTTTAGCTTTTTTTATTTATTTTTCTCACTGGTCTTATGTAGTTTGTTAATTTGTAACAAGATTAAAGGTATATCAGCCAGGCGGGGGCATCGGTGGTGTACTGTGTAGGGTCTTTAGTGAGACCCTGTTATCAGGAAAAGCACAGTGGGAGTGTGTGTGCGAACATGCGTGGGCTGGACTTGGGAGCATGAGTGAGAAAAAGTGTGTTTCAACCTGTGTGTTTCTTCTCTCATCTCCAACCACTATGTGCTGGTGGATGTATTGCTTTGTGCAAGTGCATGTGTGTGTGTGTGTGTGTGTGTGTGTGTGTGTGAGAGCTTTAAGGGCTCTCCTGCTGTCATGTCATATCTGGCTATTTCTGTTGCTGCGATCTCCAGAGATGATATTCTCATCGACTCCCACTGCACTCCTGCATTAAAACGCCTGCTGGTGTCCAGTTGCCACTGAAACAACCAGATGCGGTTAAAAAGAACCGTTGAATAAACGACACAATAACAGTTTTCATAATCAGTTTTGATCAGCTTGCGTTGGCTCATCTTGCATGGCCACTGCTGCTGTTGTTGTTGTTTATTGTTCATCCATTATTCACCAAAGTGAGGCGCAGATGCAAACGTCACAACATTAAACTTTCATCTCCTCGAAGACCCGTAGAATGTCACCATCAATCACCGTCACCTTTCACTGTCAGTCCGCTCTCCTCCTCTTCCTCCTCCTCTCTTTATCTTTCACACCCCTTCCTCTCCACAAGCTCTCTTTTCAGTCCATCTCTGCTTGACCTTTTGCCTCTCTCTTTATCTCCCCCTTGTCCTTTAACTCCTCATCCTCACCCTTTATCTCACTGTTTTATTCCTCCTTCTGTTTCCTTTCCTCACATCTTCATCCCTTCATCTCTATTTCAATGCCATAATGTTTGGGTCTCCTCCATTTTTAAATACAAATGGTCACTTTGTTTGGTTCCCTTTGGGCTTTTTTGTGGCTTTCTTCATGGCAACACCATATTTGAATTCTTGTAAGAGTAAAGCACATTAAACAGTATCACTTTGATCTGCAGCTTGCTTTCATTTAGTTCTTCTGTTTGGGAGTTTTCAGGCTCAATTCCCTGTGAAGAATCCCCTTTGGTGGCTCAGTTAAAGTTATGCATCAACTTTGTAGCAGCATGAAGAAAAAATAATGAAATGGGTTGATAGAAAGCAGCTCAGAGGGGCTATGGATTATAACACACCCGTTGTGGTTGTTTTTGTCACAACCACATATACCAACCTGATCTCAAATGGTAACACCAAATTATTCTTGACCTACAAGTCACTAACAATCAGGAAGATCTTTTAGAAAACAAGCAATTTCATGAAACCAGACAGGGTGTAGCAAAATTCAATAGTCATTAGAGAATAATGACAATAGTGTGTACCAACCTTCAAATTACCTTAAATCATCACTCTAACAATTTCCAAAACTTTTCAATCTCACATTCTGGCAGCTTCTGATTTAACTTCCAATTTTATTTAACAAACTTTCGATGTAGAATTTATCACAATAATCTATGTTTGATTGTCGTAGTTGTTGGATTTTGAATAAACAATTTTGCACTGATTTAGGAATTGCCCAGTGGAGATGTTAAAATGAAGCTTGTTTTATTTTTTCTCTGTGTGCTGTGTTAGATGCTCCGTGCTCAGAACTACAAGGCATGTTGTCTGGGCTACTGCCTGACCCCCAGATCTCTGCATCCTCCATGAGGGACATCCACGGCTCCATGGGTGCAGCCCGACTAGTAGCCAGTCGGTCTGGCTGGTTCCCCAACCCAACACAACCCATAGCTGGAGAAGAGTGGCTACAGGTGAGTGACTTATATCATAGCACTACTGGTTCTACTGAGATAGAATACCCTAAGTATTAAGATGTTCAATAACGATTGAAACAAATTTGGAAAATTTAAGATAGATTTAAATGTTGAAAATATATAATGTTTAAAGATTAAAAACTAAACAAGTAATGCTAAGTAATCTCTTTAACAAATGTTTAAAAAAAAAGATTATTAAAACATCCCTAAAGAATGTTTACAAATAATTGCTTAAATTAAATTTTTTGTTCATAAAAAAGGTCTGCTCAAAATGTTTAAAAAAGTGATCAAATATTTTGAAAGACTGATTAAAAGTTTGTAAAAAGAAACACATTTTATTTTTTTTTGAAAAAGTTTAAATTATGACAAAAACTTTCAAACAGACGATAAGAATAAGAGATTATTTTTTTTATTTCCATTCGTCTCCACACAGCAATGACAATGTGTGCAGGAAAAACACTGAGCTTAAAGTCTACGTGGGAAGAAAGGGATGCTGGAATCAGTTGTAAGAACTGAGCATAGTGTTATTAGAGCACGGAACCATATGATAACAATGAGGAGACGAGATTAAGAAAATGAATCAAAAATTACAATGCATCCAGGAAAATAAAAAGAAGGGAGTCTCACTCCATGACACACTATAGATGCATAAAGAACCAACTTCCATTCAGGTAATTCTTAATGGAAAACAAACATTGACCATATGGGAAAGTCAGAGTAGGCTTGGGATCTGGAAATTGATCGACTTCTATGTTGAAAACAGGGAGCTAACAAACATAACTGTTCTCTCTGTGTTATAGGTGGACCTGGGTGTGCCCAAGATGGTGCGAGGCATTATTACCCAGGGTGCAAGAGGGCTGCAGGGCAGCACCAGTGCTGAGAACAGAGCATTTGTCAGGAAGTACAAACTGGCACACAGCTTGACGGGCAAAGACTGGACTTACATCACTGACAGCAAGACTGGGTTTGCCAAGGTAAACACACACACACACACACACACACACACACACACACACACACTGACATGTACTCTCATCTCTCTGATTGTCACTGTCAGTTCTTCCTCATTTGTAGTTTATTTATAGCTGTCTTTCAAAGAAATCCCTCTTCACTCTCTTTCTTTCCCCTCCCCTTTTGTCTCTTTCTCTAACTCAGCCTCGTCATTTTCAGTAAAAAAAAAAGAAAAAAAGAAATCAATTTTATTACAGCCAAAGCTCTGATAATAATTCAATTTAATTACCTCACTCTTCTTTCTCTCAGCCTCTTCCTTTGTGTCCCTCTAACTCCTCTGTACTCTCCCTCTCTGCTTCTCTCCTTCTCTCCATCCTCTCTTTCGCTCACCCTCTATTTGTCTCTCATGGGTGTTAATTAAAAATGTCTTTCCTGCATCACCACCCAACACTGCCGGCAGTCTTAACACACAGTGAGACAGGGCACTTTAAACTCTGTTCTCCTCTCTGAGACTCAGTCTTAAAACGCTTTAATAGCACTACTGAGTGCCTGGCTTTTCCTCCTGCTGCTTAAAATCCTGCTCCCTCTCATCTGCCTGTCTTTTTAAATGGGCATCCTGGGAAATCCATCATATGTTTTTTTTATATTCCTAGAATGTGGGGAGACAGAAGATCCAATTCAATTAATGAAACCAATATTATAACTTTCACCATCCCAGTTTTTTTAAATGTGTGGTGCAGTCTAGTCGTTTTCAGCTTGTAATAAATCTTTTCCTTTTTGCCAGAGGCTGTTGCAAGCTGGCTCGAAAAACTGATTTGGAAATCAAAAGAAACACACTCTCTGTTGTTATTTATATGGCACATGTCACACTGTGTTGGGAAACAATGCTGATTAGTACGGTTGTATGACAAGCTTTTCATTTTTTCTATTGTCTCACAATGAGACTTAAACAGTGGAGAAATTAAATAACTCATCTTTATTGATTCCCTCTGGGTTATACAAGTTTCTGTGTTGAGAAAACGCTGCTGTTTCTATCACATTCTGACATATGTCTCATAGGTCAATGCTTGTCACTCACATTTTTGTGTCTCAACATTTAAAGCTCCTACCTTGAAAAAAAAAAGATCCTGTCTGCCACTGTAGCAGGCACAGACAGATTTTCCTTGTGAGTGCATGAACTGAGCTCACATATGTGAAAACTGGCAGGAAAACATGCTTTATACTGGAGAAGAGGAATGTTTTATTCTCATATATCTCTCTTTACTACTTGTAACATCCACCATCAACATGACTTTTCTCCCCTCCTCTTAGATTTTCGAAGGGAACGGCCACTACGATACTCCAGAGGTGCGGAGGTTTGATGAGATAGTGGCCCAGTACATCAGAGTCTTTCCGGAGAGGTGGTCGCCCGCTGGGATCGGCATGAGGATGGAGGTCCTCGGCTGTGACCTGCTAGGTAAGAGCACTCTCTTGCTAATGTGAGATAACAGGACGTTACACATTTCAAATCATTGTGCACACAGATGGACTCACAACTTTGAGCTCGCAGGAATGTGCACTTGTGCAAGGACATGGCAATCCACACAGATAAACAGACTAATACACAGTGTCAATGCCCACGCATAAAACAAATGCTCTGTTAAAACACATCACCCACCTACTGTGATCAATCTTTTCCAAATCTTATACAGTATATCATCATAGTTATACATTTATGTATGAAATGTCACAAACTAAACATTAGTTACTTAAATATAATGTGCAAATCATGCAATTAATCCTCATCATCTGCCATAAGTGCATGTTTGGTTGCGTTCCTGTGAACGTAAAAAATGTGTGTGTGCTTTTATCTGCCACACTGCTCTGTGTCTCTGTATACAAGTTTATTTACAGTATAAATAAATATAAGTGTGTATGCATATACTTATATAAAGTATACGCTCACGTGCATTGTGTGGGTAAAGCGGTGGGTTAAGTAATCATGTTGCTCTATAGGAGATTTGGTAACATGTCTGGACAGGGATTAACATGTCTAGGTCATGGGACTTTTACTAATAGTGCCCAGCTGTGTAGTTGTTCTGTATTGTGCTCACAGCCTATCTTGTTAATAACATGTTGTCTAGCTAGCGTGTAGTAAACGGTCATGTGCAGTGCATGTTAAGCTTTGATTTTGGTTTCCATCGTCAATCATGATTTGTTTTTCGCACTGTCCCATTTGTGACAGACACCTACCTGTTCCCAGCTGACATGAAGCAGGCTGGTGTGTGTGTGTGTGTGTGTGTGTGTGTGTGTTTCCTTGATGTGTCAGGAGCAGGTGGGAGACTGGGGATAATTGGGAGACACACACAGGTTTTAACAGGTTACGTTGCAGTTATAAACTTAGCTCAAACTGTACCTCTCTCCCAGCTGATGAGTAAACATGAAAGGTGGCCTGTTACAACCAGAAGAATGATCTAACATACATTCAATGCAAAGTGTTCTGCAGAGTCCAGTATATGTTGAGGATTAGGTAAGAAAGACACACTGGTTCAGGATAGGGACAGAGCTAGCTTTGGTTTAATGTTAATAATCAAGTTGTAAGTAAAGACACTGTTTTTCTGTATTAAACCAGAAGAGGATTTCGTCTAACCTCCATGTTCCATGAGAGTCTAATGATGGGATCTTTTGTTAGAAAACATACAACTTATAACATAAACTGCTTAATAGTCTAAATAACTTTACACCATATATCTAAATAAGGTCAGTGAAGAACATTATCTGACTGCAATTCTACATAACATTTTGAGAATCATAATACAAAATATGAATAAATGTGTAATATTACAAGGGTAAAGCCTTAATATTACAAGAAGAATTTTGTAAATAGTCACAATAATAGTTTTTTTTATGTCATAAGGAGAACTTCCTTTTTCATTTTGAGTTTAATGTGACTGGCAGCACAGAGAATCTAAAATATCAACTCATTGATGTGAAACCCTGCTGGCACAATAAAGTAATAGTGAAACATTGACCTTGTCGGTCGTATTCCAAGAATGAAGCCAAATCATTTCCCTTTAATGGAGATACATTTTTCATCATATGCCCAATCATGCTGACAGTAACCTCTGTGACTGCACTGCCAGTGGTGTATTCTGTCTGTTGCTCGTTATTGAACAGAATAACATCATTCACATCGTATCTGCAGCCATCACGATCGCAGCACTGATCAACCTCTTGGCTATCAGCGTTGCATGATTGTCTGCCGGTCGGCCTGTCTGTGTCTGCGTGCCAGATGTTTGCCCTCTGGATGTAATCCGTGCATTAGACATGATAACAGTTCATTCCCACTTCACATGATCAGCGCAGCGACTGCCCCGGCTACCACCCTTAACACCACCGCACACAGCCACACACAGAGATAATTCTGCATCTCAGTGGCTTAGAGCAGTTTGATTTTGTTCAATTTCACTGTGTCTGGTTTTTAATTGTCTCCACACAAGGGGAAGTGAGGATAACAACAGTGAATAAACGCATGATCTCACTAGATATGCAGTCACAATCCTTCTGTTAGAGCTATAACGGAAAACTATAAAACAGGAAAGCACATTAAACAACTACTGAGCGTGCTGTGCATATTGTTTGTGTGTAGGTGTGTGCGCGCGTGTGTGTGTAGGTGTGTGCATACATGTGTGTTTGTGAGCAAGTGTTGAGTTGCAACAGAAGATAAAATATTCAACAGAGTGCATCAGCTTCAGTCCACTGAACAAAGCTGTTTGCACATAAGTCACATGCACAAGAAAACGCGGACACATTTAACTCCTATAACACACACACACACACACACACACACACACACAGACAAAAGATACAAAGTCATTCAGGAAAAAAAACAACTAAACAGCACCTTTCCACCTCTCTTCAAATGAAATCCTATGAGGTTGTTTTTCCCTCCTCTACCTAAAACTTTCCATTTGTGTCAACAGGCAGCTTTTAAAACAGCTCGAGCCCTGATTACTATTATTTATTTTACCAAGGAGGATATGAGGCTACCCCACATTTACGAGGCACCCTTGATCCTCTATAAAACCGTGGAAGTTCCCTTTTTCCCCCAGCGCCTCGAGCTACATCCCCACCTGTCTCAGCAGCCCTCGCGAACTGAAGGAGAGAATAAATGAACTGATGAATAAATGAGAAGAGACATCAGCACTGTGAGGCAATCACATGTTCACTGACACACACACACACTCATTCACACACACACAGTGCAGTGGATGCAGCAATCAGAGCAGCCCTTCTATTATTCAGTGGTTTGTTTCTCTACCTATTTTTCTTTAGACTCAGAAAGAACATGGACCTCTACTGGTGACCAAAGTCCAGATACCTTCGTTTCCTATTAAAATTCCATCATAATCTGAGCTGAGACTATGTAAGAACATTTTATTTTCAACAAAAAAACTGGATCATAATAAGTTTATGGATTTTTTGGGGCATAGAGTGAAATTCTGCTCCAACCACACACCTGGTCTACGTCTACCTGTGTTTAATGACACTGTTGTACATAAATAATTTACGTAAAGGTAGATACCCCTTGGTCATGTAATGTGTAGGACAGCTTTCATATTTTTCCGTCATTGTTAAAAATGGAACAGAGTAAAGAACCTCAACCAAGAGCCAAGAGTCTGCTTAAAATCAGTCAAGCTGCACCAAACTGCACACACTCATAGAAATCAGTCCTCTACAGGTTTCCAATATTTTACATTAAGATCCATTTATTATTCCTTCAGAAACTGTTGAAAATTTCAAAAAAATGCTTTATCAAAAGAAAGTTTGACAAATCCTCGGATGCGTCCTTTTGACTGGATCCTCCCCAAAAGTAAAGGGCTTCTGTCTTGCCATCCTTCCATTAACTTTCAATAAAAACGGTTCTATAGTTTTTGTGTAATCCTGCAAATAGACAGACACACAGCAATGGAAATGTAACCTCCTTGTCAGAAATAATGGAAATGTTCCGTTAACTCGTCCCCTGCTGGTGACAGCCATGGTCATGCTTATGTCACTGTTGCATTTTATTAGTCCTCCGACTATAAATTTTGCATCTGAAGAAAAATGCTTGTTCTGAAGTTGGCTTCCTGTCAGCTGTTGTCCTATATAACAACTTGTATCATCTGAAATGTTTGACATCATAACATGATTGGTATCATATCATTTCCATTAATATCAACAGTCATAACTTAGTTACTGGGATAAGAATACAAGCATCCTCTTCTTTTCATTCGTGTCTGCAAACCAGTGCCTCAGTATTTATATTAAGCAGCATTTTGTGTTGGTTATTCGTCATTCAAAAGTACATAGAGACAAAGACAATATAATACGGTGTCAGTCAAAAACCTTATATCCCTTAAACTCTAGCTTTCACAAACTTGCAGAGACATTGCTTTTCCATTTCCACTCCTGTATTGTTTTCATATTTCACAATGAAGCGCACTGACCTGGCCTTGGGGCTGTAAAACAATTTCCCCACATGGAAGAGACAATCTCTGCACCCAATTACAATAAAGAAATCCGAAATTATGGATACGGGGGTTCTCAGAGGGGGCAGACAATAATATAGTTTAGCATCTCATTACCGTGCCAAACCCTCGGTGCGAAAACAGACACAAATCCAGGCTATTATTGCGGGACTCATTCTAATCATTCATGCCAGCTATGGAGGCAACATGTAATTTAGGTCTTGACTTTTGGATGTGAGCAGAGAGCTGCTAGCTGGCAGATTTGTTCATGTTTTAAATGACTGAGTTATCAGAACATCTGCTATGCACTCATCTCTTTCACTCATCACCTAGTGTTTGGCAGGCAGACATACAAACAGCAGGCATACACACACACACACACACACACACACACACACTAGGGCTGCAACTTACGATTATTTTGATAATTGATTATTCCATTCATTCTTTCTGATTAATTGATTAATCAGATAAAAAGCCAAAATGCTACAATTATTAACCTTTCCAGCAGTTCTTCTAAAACATGTATTATAGACATCTTCAACATAATTATGACTACAATTCCAGTTTCAGATAGCTACAATTTAATGATTTTCTGACTTGTCATAATCCAAGTTCAAGATACCTTAAATTAAGTTTGAACTAGCCAGAATTAAATTGTGTTTTTCGGAAACTGGAATGAAAGATTATTGTATATTATAATTCTACTAAATTGTAGATTTCTTTATTGAAAAGACACACACATGAATTACAAAAGTAGTTTGAATCTTACTTTGTAATTACCTAAGTTGAAAACTTGAGTTTTGAGTAGTTGAAACAAAATGAAAGATATTATATTGAATATTTAGAATGTTGTATGAATCCTATATAAAAATTCTTACTCGTCACAGTGAAAGTATAACTAGGCAAAATTATATCTGTTGAGTTAATTATGGACAATCACACTTGTTAAACTGATGTTAAAACT